TTGTTTTTCTGTTGCCTTTTGTGGGACCAGGATCACTGCTTTTCTAGTGTCATATAATTGGCTGTAGATGACGCAAGTAAATAAAACATAGCCTGGTTAAGAACTCATCCACAGCCTCAACTTGTGTACTCACAGTCAGAAAGAAGTAGACTTGACGTGTTCATTTCTACTATGCATCTCTTCACACTGTTTGTTTTGCGCATCCTTTGTTCATCACTTACTTCTTAGTTTCCCTCAGAAGACCAGCCAGTAGTTTCACCCCTCATCTATTGATGATAGTTAGAGCTGGTAGAACGTGTTGACATTTAAAATACCTGCTTTTCAATTTGAAATTCACTCATCTGATTCAGTATTCTTCTCCATAGCTGTAATGTACATCGATATGATGCCAAAAATGTGGGACTTAATTTGTGTTTTGTTTTCTTGTCTAAGATATCTAGAAGCTTCACCTTCAACCATCTTGATTTCTGAGATCCTCTTTTTATTGGACTTGGGTTGTCCTTGGACATATGGGTTGGAATGAATGAATTGATGTTAGATTTATTTGTTTCTGGAAGTGGAAGATTTTTGTTTATTATTTTAGACAAGAATGGTGTTTCAGTAATCACAGTGTTAATTATCAACTGCAGAAGTGGGTTGATGAGTCAGGTGAATTATATTTGGTGCTCTTGTTTCTCAATGACTGTCCATTGCTCATCAGGTCAAGCTCCAAAAGCACAATACAGCAGCTAACGGGATAAAGTACAAGAATGGCCTGCATTGTACTGCTAGAATACTGAAGACTGAAGGAGTATGCCTCTTTACTGCTTGGATTCCAACGATAGCCCTTGTGTCTCTTGTGCTTGCATGTTCTTCTAGAATACTAAGACTTAAGTGTGATGCCTCTCTACTTCTTTATTACCTAACCTTACCTTTGTGTTTCCTGTGAGTGTAAAGAATTAAGTAGCATCTACTTGTGTTTTCCTACTTAATTACATCCCCACTTATAGAGGGCCAGTCTTAGTCTGGTCATGATCTGACAAGGTGGTAAAGGTGAACCAGGTGATCTAAATTTGATATTTTTGATCTGCCACCATGTCTGTCCTCATGAAGCAGCCAAATGTATTGCTCTTGACTTTATGAGCAATATTTGTCCTGTAATCTAAGAAAAGCTAAATTTTGACTTCTTTGTCGGCATTTGGCTTTTGGATGTGGCACAGACACATGAACATAATCCCATTGTACATGTCTACTTTAGGGGAATTTCCATTGAAGTTTAATGCATGAGATTTAAATGGATAGTCCCAAGAACTAATTGGTAATAACATTAAGAAGTTCATTAATTTATTAACTAAGAGTACCATGATGTCTAAGTAAATAAAATAAGATTTTTAACTTTGTTTTCCTAATTTAATTTCTCATGTTTTTCTGGAAAGTGATGCATTGTCTACTGTAACTGATGAGCCATCGTTGTCCCCAACCTTGTCCATCGGTTCTTCTGCTTATATACATGTTATCTGTCCACTTTTAGGCTATGAAGGTATTGGCAGAGGACCAATGACAGACTGCATCTTGTTTGCCTGTATGAATTGTTTTTGTGTTATTTCCAGACGATCAGCCAGAGGCTGGATTTCTCGTCATTAGGAATGTGTTTCTTTTTGTTCAACAGCATGAGTAAACAATGTTATATAATCTCAACAATTTTGAATGAAAAAATTCAACTTGCTTACTCAAACAATTTCTTATGTCTTTGTCCTTTTGGCCTCAAATGCTGTTCACATAGCCAAATTGTTGTCAGATGCTCTCTCTCTCTCTCTCTGTGCTTGTGGACCTTGAGTTATTTCAAATTTTGTATCCCACTATAAAACAAGTTAAAGAAATTATTACTTCTGAATTGGCTAGGAATAACTATCCTTGAATTTTGTCTGCTTGCGATCAAAGGTGAAACTGCATCCTTCACGTATTAACTTTACTTCTTGCACTTGTTGTAAAAAATGATAAAATGGGTTTGATCAAAATCTTTTTTGCCATCTTTTGTAACCTTTACTATAGGTTTTGTTATACCACATGTCTGTTACTGTTTTACGATGATCAACCATTTAAGTAACAATTCCTGTTCTTGTCTGTCGTTTATTCTTGTCTTAGTTGAAACACATCCTGGTGTGCAATATACTCGTTTCAATGTATTATCATATCGACCTTTTCCTTCTCCCCCACATGTTTTTCTTGGTTTTCAGTGATTAATTTTTGTAAAAATGCCAACACAAAATACGACCAATTTCATTCAGGTAAAATTCTGATCGAATTTCTTCATTCAATATAAATTGAGAAAATGGCTCTTCGCAATTTATGAGCCACAATTGGATCTCTGGTAAATTGGATGACTGAAATGGCAGAAAGAAATAAGATTTTGGTGTTTTAAAAGGTTTGAAGTTCATTAGTTGATGAAGATGGATCAAACTAACGTGAACAAGAAGTCTCATAAAGCACAATGTACTTTGACCTTATTTCAGTGTACTAAGTAAGGTCCCTTTATTCTTTTTGGAGGTGAGGTCCGAAGGATGCATCTTAGTTCCATGCTTGTTGCCTCCAATTCTTCTTTTCTTTTCTCTTCTTGGTATTTTCCTGCAGATTACTGATTTATTTTTATTTGATAGGTTCAAGGTCTCTATCGAGGTGCAACGTCTTCTTTTCTGGGAATGGCTTTTGAAAGTTCACTTGCTTTTGGCATTTACTCTCAAACAAAACAGCTCCTGCAGGTCTGTTTGACTATAATGGATGAAATTCTTGTTTTTGCCCCTTTTGAGCATAAACCTTCAAGATTGTTTGAGAAAGATGCTATGAGCTCCTGTCACATCATCTGCTTATTGTAAGTTTCCTTCTGACCTCATTGTTTGTATTGGAAAGGGCGGATTTCATAGTGATAAGCCGCAGCCTCAGGCGATTATTCCTGCTGGAGCTTTTGCTGGATCTATTATTAGTTCTATACTCTGTCCAACGGAGCTTGTGAAGGCAAGTGAATCAGATAGTTAATTATGACTAGCTGCATTAACCTGGTGCAATAATTTTGTTGACATTGAGATTCTCCAGTGTAGGATGCAAGTTCAAGGCACAGATTCCTTGATCTCATATTCCAGTAGATACAATAGTCCTCTTGACTGTGCCATTAAAACAGTAAAAGCTGAGGGGGTGAGAAACTGCTTGCTCAGTTTTTAGTTAAGTTATCTAATATACTTGCAAGCTGACATGTTGAATCTCCAGCCTACAGGCATTTTTCGGGGAGGATACACAACCTTGCTTAGAGAATCGTTGGGTAATGCATCTTTCTTTACCACTTATGAATATGTTCGCTACTACATGCACTTGCAACTGAAAGATGCTTCCCCTCATCAGACCCACTTGATTGATGTGGGAATCGGGATAATGAGTGGTGGTCTTGGTGGTATAGCAGTAAGTATCTAAATCACTTTGCTACTTTGTGTATTCCTTGGGACAGATGAATATATTTGACATGATTAAATATAATTTCTTTTGCTTCTTTCCCATTTTGTATATGGACACTCTATAATCAACCTGTTCCTAAATCCGTTTCTCCTCACTTAATTCTTTGCAGTGCTGGTGTGTTGTCCTTCCTTTTGATGTTGCAAAAACCATTATACAGACTACCCCTGATAAAATCTCTACAAGAAATCCATTTCAGGTCTTAACCTCGGTATGTTTTGCTGTTCTCTAGAACTTTTAGTATGTGATTCAATAATGTGGGAAATTTGCATTTGATTGTCTAAATATACGATAGATAGATGACTTTTGTAACTTCAGTTGCACTGCCTTGTGGTGGCATGGTTAATTTTGCTTGGCTAATAAAAGAGTAAGGGCATTTTTTACATATGTTTGCTACGTCATTGTAGATTTACAGGAGATCCGGGCTTAGAGGATGCTATGCGGGACTGGGTCCTACTGTGGTAAGGGCATTTCCTGCTAATGCTGCTGCAATTGTCACATGGGAGCTAGCTGTGAAAATGCTGGGGATCAAGCGTGATTAGACCTGGGTATTGGTTTCCTGTACTCAACTTTGTAGGCATCACTGTGGGAGTTGTTCAACTGGGCCTCGTTCCAATAATAATAATTATTAGATCTGAAAGCTCTATGCCAATCTTCTGAGATGACCAGCATTACACTTGTCATGTACAAACTGCACAGCTGATAAATGCTTCTGGCATAAGTTTCTCAATTGTTTTCCTTCAAGCACTTTAATTCTCTGTCATGGAGAGATGGAAGAATGTTGTGCTGATTGGTCTGGAACAGAGCTTTTCTCAAGCTTGTTGGTCTGAGTTTCGTGAGCTTAGGAATAGAGAATCTAATGCTGCATGATCATCATTATCGTGTCCCTCACAGAATTCAGTTGTACTAATGGTTTATCTTTGACCTGAAATGCTTGATTGACTTCATTGATTTCCTACTGCTAGTTATTCAAAGAGTATTATGATGTTGTTACATCAGTAAACTCAGTTGTCAATTGTGTACATGCTTTGACACTGGATCATACATGATCATTTTTTTCATGTTATACTACTTGCAAAGAAATTATACCTTGTAATTTTACATCTTCTGGATGATTTTTTTTTTTTTTTTGTACTCATTCTATAAAAAGCTTAAATTGTAAAGGAACTTGAATTCTGACACTGTTTGTTCATATGCCTCTGTTACTGCACTAACATTTGGAAATAACAAAGTCAATACTGGCTGAGGAGTAATTGAACTTTCAATTGTTTGTTTCTGATATCGGAGTGTTGCAACTTTTCATTTCGATATTATGGGGGATGATTCTGAAATTTGAATCACATGTGCTTCAACAACCACCCGGTGAAGCAGGTTATGAAAGGATACGAGATTCCATCAAATTCGAGATCCATTTTGTAGGCTGTCACTTGTTTTCCAATCGATTTTCTAAGGTCATTGGTTTGGCAATCTTATGCGGCAGTATATTGAGCTGCAGTTTTTTTGCCAATTGATCGCATCAATTTTGATCTCAAAATTTTTACTAAATTGCCAGGTTATGTACCTGCAAAATGAAAGGATTCCTACATTATGCAGGCCTTCTGTTGTCATTGGACGAAACATAGGATAGATTTTTGGAGTGCCTGCAGGGGTTGCCTTTGCTTTGGTGTGTTTCTTTAAAGAGCTCAAAAGCCGGCAAGGGAACCAATCCAGGATCTGCAAGTTGGGCCAGATTTCTGATAGATTACATACGCTACTGTCCTCGTTGCTTGGGTCTTTTGGTAGCTTACATGTATTAACCGCAACTGGTTTCTTTCTTTCTGGCGGAGCTGTTGAGGTCGATCTTTCATCAACAGTTGTTCCATGAGAGTAGTTGCAGAAGAACATGGTATCCGAGGAGAAACCAGAGTACACTTTTGGATTTATGCACACAAATCTTATTGTCAACGCTACTAATCTAACAGTCCAGGGATTGACAGAAGAGAGAGAGCATACAAATGATGAGGGTAATGATCTTCAATTTGTCAAAACGGTTGTATCGTCTTCAGTCTTCGGTTGAGTGACCGTTCACTGTGCTTTACCCTTCTCCACGGGAGTCGTAAGAGCTTTTGCGGCGACGTTCATTGTGGCCTGCCAGGCGTCTGCGACAACTCCTCTTAGCTTCGTCAAACTCTGATAAATCATGAAACCTGTAGGACAACACAGAGACATATGTAAAAGGTTTAGCATAAGCGGGAGGATACCTTCCTTCATGAATCAGATGATTTCTAGGTTTCTGCATGAGATAGAAAGTGAAACGCACTCAGCTTTATGAATCAATCGACACAAATTGAGAAGTAAAAAGTTGACTTTTTGCGCGTAACTAGTGTTTCCCTCTGAGTAAGGACTGAAAGGCACTGAAGAAAGATTAATCAAGATACTCGAAGATACCATGCTAGTGCATTCTGTTGTCCCTTTGAATGCAACTATCGGTAATTCCAGAGCATGTATTATGCATCATTTTGTGCATTGTACTCGGAGGGTTATATTTTAGTTAAAGCTCGATTTGTGCGCGTCATCCTTGCATGGGGGCCATGCTAATCTTCTCTGTATCATTCCAATTTTATCCGGTGTCCCCTAAGGGACAATGCAAGTGTCAGCTTGTTAGAGTTCAAACTAAGTGAAATGATTTTGTTGTTTGAATCAATCCGGAGCCTGCAATCGTGGGTTCGCTTTAAATTTTCTTATGGCACACAGCATGATACCACACTAAACAGAGGCTCATACAAATGCTTGAACTCTCTAGACACGGAGGGCGACAAATCAATATTATGCAGGCTTTTATGACACCAGTTTTCTGATTTTAGCATTTAATGTTTTTTCTTTTGTTTCATAGCTAAGCTATGGTTGTCATATTCTAGCTCATTTTAATTACAAAGAGTACTGGTGTCACTGAAATGAGCAAGAATCCGGGTGTAAGTAAACCAAGTCTTTTTCTGGCTCAACTACAATCTGCAAAACTCTGGCTCATTTCGGAGCATGTCAAATCCAAGTGTAGTTATGCAGATCGATTGTTCTTTGTTTCTCAAATGAAACAGTGCTTCATAATCATCGAGGCTTTCTAACTCTTTGCCACTGAATGAACAGTTTCAATGGTTCCCAGGTTAATGTTGAGTAATAATGACACAGCAGAATCTCTAAAGAAGTATGCAAAAATCAGACAGACAGATTAATCCGAGTGGGAATTCCTCACCAAGGAGCAAAGCGCTTAAAGATGGACAGAAAGTAAACTAGCATTTCTGTGAGGAAATGAAGGTATCCCAACCTGCTGCATTGCTGACAGAAGCGTTGCCTGACTCCGGCAACGAGGACAATTGGGGCCTTGGAGTGATGCTCACAGACCTTGTGGCGACGATGATATGGCTTGGAATCCTTCATATCAGCAGAGCAGTCATCAACTTGACAAGAAGGTTGGATTGGCCCTGATATGCCGGTGGCCTTTTCTCCGGAGAGGGTCAATGCTCTTCTCTTCTTACTCTCCTCCCCAACATCTTCATCATCATCTCCATCCTCCTCCGCCGCCACCTGTTTCATGCTCCTCTTCCCTTCTGCTTTGCTTGCTTCCATTCCTTTGAGAAAGGTAAGCTGGGGGAAAATGGTCTAGCGACAAAGCAGAAGAGCAGAGGGTGAAGAAAGTGAAAAGAGAAAGAGTGGGAGACGAGAGCAAGAGCATGTGAGGACCACAATCTCCATGTCTATTTCCCCTGGTTGAGGGTAGGATCCTGAGACAAGGATAATTTGTTGGGTAGTTGTATATACATCAAGAGATGTAAAATACAGACAGGCTACCAGGTACTATAAGTACTTAACTTTCCCCTTAAAACTTGCAACTTATAATGTGACTACTAAAGTTTATAGTAAAATTTATATTTTGGTAACATGACAATCAGCATCTCAGAAAAAAAAAGTTCACCAGATCTATTTATGATTCTCTAGTTGGCATTAATTTTTAAGACCCTTTTAGGAGTACAATTTACCGCATGTAAACAAATTTAGAATAATGATATGTGGCTGTTTTCTCAGGAGGGGTGCTGCTTTCTGCCCTTCGTCAAGCAGTCATTGCATCTGGCAAATCTCTCACCAACCATTTGACATGGTTGTGAGGTGATGGTAAGTATGATTTGCCTTCATTTTCAATTATTCTGATCAATCGTAATAAGGTGTGGACACCCTAATTATATATATATATATATATATATATGTATGTATATATTGGCTCTGTTAAATCGAGCAACAATGCTTTAGCAAAATGCTACTACCTAGAAAGTTCATCTGTTATTCTTCCCTAAAGCTGAAGTAACTTGGAGGAAAGTGAAGTTCTAGACAAACCCATAAATATGTAGAAAAGGACACTTACTAACTACCTGCATCCCTTGGCGATTGCACCAACATAGTAGTGCTGAACTTGAATAGCTTTTCGCCTTCTTCGTGCAAGTAGTTTTCAGCAATTATATTGAATTCTACGTCTAGAATAAATTAAAAAAGAAGGGTTTTGTACATAATTTGTGTGTAAATTGAGTTTCTGATGGAGAATTAAAAAGGTTTGATTATCTGCAAGTTGTCATGAATGATGAACACGGGCTAATAGTGCTTTGCCACGCCTAGATGCTCCTGTCCTCGTTGATGTGTCCCTGCACAACTTGGTTTCTTTCGGTCCGAATTTTTTCTACCCTTAGATTTAGAGCAGCCAATTGATTTGCTGCAAAGTGCCCGCCGAACTTTGCGAGTGATACGGCTACATCAATTATCATGTAGGGTGGATATTAAATCAAATCAGCTCCTTGGTCCACTTATGTACTATGGGAGCTCTTTGATTAATGAACTCACAGGTTAGTCATCTTTTATTTGTTGGAAGTTAGTAATTCGGGTTGCTACCATTGAAACACGACATTACATTTTAGGGAAGAGATTAAAATTTTTTTATTGCAAAAGGGGGTTGAAGAAGCCCATTTTTGTTGGAGCTGTTTGGTTGCAAACAACAGGTAACATGTAGGGGCGTAACGGACGTAATCAAGTTGAGCACCTTAGTATTTAAATTTATTTGATTATTAATTTTAATGAATTTAAAATTTTATTCAAATTTGACTTGTTTATTTATCGAACTGAACTTGAACGAACATTTTATCGAATTTCAAAGATATCGAACATAAAATACTATTCAAATTTGATCTGATAAGTCGGCGAATCAAGTTCAAATGAACTTTTATCAAGTTGAACTCGATTTAAGTATCTAGTAATTTGGTTAATCTTTCAACCCTAATATGATAATTTGGCCTAAGCAACGTAGTTTTCTACATGTGCGATGCAAATTTTATTAAATGCCTGAAATAAATATTAGTTCCTTTAGAAGCTGCATTACTAATTGCTATGGTTTTTTGCTTCATGGTGCCTTAAGTTGGAGTTACAAAACTTTAGTTTCTCCGCTTACACAAGTTTAATTCAATTGATAAAGATGAACCATTTTTTTATAAAAATGTTGTGTGTTTGAATTCCGTTATTGATATGAGAGTTGTGTTGATGAATAATCTATAAAAATCCTTGTAAATAGCCTATGATCCTATGGACAAGCTTTGATTTGTGGTGGTGATAGGAATCGAACCCACCTAAACTTTCATTTTACAAAAAAAAAAAAAAAAAAAAAAATCTTATCTTAGGTAGAAGAATGATTGCATTGAATTAGTCAATTGCACACCTCTATGGCATTACACCCGTACACTGACCTAATTCAATTTTCATACCATGTTTACAGATGCCTTCCCTAATAGGACCGCGGGCAAAATTTTGGCTCATAAAAGGATTTACAGTGATTAAAAAACTAATGATTAAACAACACGTATTATTAAATAGTTTGAGGGCCACTTTTGCCATTTGCTCATTTTTGGACAGGATTACCACCGGCAAATTGTTCTTACCCGGATTCATCCCTAATGTGCTGATGATGTTGGGTAGATTTTTGGATGTGATTTTTACCCTTTTGATAGAGTTTCAATGGATGTTCTGTGATAGTTTACAAAGAAATGGAATCAGCATAGCGTAGCCTATGACCCAAATTGCTAGTTCAAATTCAAAGGTGTTAGAAGTCCGTGATCACTTTTCAGAAAGCCCATTATTTTGGTGTCACAATTTTATGTGGGGCTTTAGAGCTATGTTTTCAGAACCGGACCGGATAGCGACTCGGCCGAGGTCAGGGGTCAGGGGTCAATGGGTTCGACCGGGGGGTCGATAGGGGTCGAACCGGATGACGTCATAAATAAAAATTATTTAAAAATTAAAATATTATATATATAATATCTAATAATATATTGATATTAATAAAGGCATATTCATATATATTTGATGTTTCAAATATATTTAACAAGAAAATACAAAGAAATTAGAACAATCAAGTAGCAATTTATATTATTTAATAAATATTAACAAGTTTAGAATTAAAATTATGAATTTAATTGAAAAATAACATCAAATTTTAGGACAATATTTATAAAGTATCAAATATTTGAGCTATATCAATAAGTTTTAACAATTTAGGGGGTCAAAACATAATATTAAAAAGTTTGAATTTTTTTAAAAAAAAATTACTGTTGAACCGGAAAAACCGGTTTTTTCCCGGTCAAACCCGGTCAAACCCGGTTTTTGACCGGCTTTGACCGGATTTTAAATTTCCGGTTTTCTAATGTGACTCGGACCGGCTACCTGGCCGGTTTCCGGTTCGACCGGCCCGGCCGGTCCGGTCCGAGTCTGAAAACAGAGCTTTAGAGCCGGGTATGATTTTCATGAGCTTGAACTTGAACCATTAGCCAGGTAACCCTGATTTCTCTAATTACTGGTGTCCCTCATTCGAGTTTGAAGCTTCCTTTGAACCGGAAAAGGAAAAAAGAGAAAAAGAAATTGTCACCAAAATAATGAGTAGATTGCTTAAGCAATTGGATTTGGATCTTGGAGGACCACAGATTAAGATCAGGATTCGAGCCGATAGGTTGGCCCCATGGTTTGCTTTCATGTGGCTTAATTATGAACTTTGTACCATTTTTTTCTTTTTCTTTTTTTTTTTTTTTTAAAAAGAGAATCAATAATGATTTTTCACTTATTTCTTAGATGCCTCGAACTTATAATCTCTATCGATTATAGGTGAAGCATTTTACTTATACTAGGCTGTCATGAATTTTGTACCATCATTTCTCACAAGGTGGAGTACTACTAAGATAATTTGAAGTTGACTAGATTTGTTTAACATTAACTGGAGTAACTAATGGACGGCATCTCATTACTTCGACTTTCCAGTACACAAATCATCTATCAAGATGAGAAAATGGAATTGCAAATTAATAATGTTATTTTGATTTTACAAACGAAGATGAAAGTTAAACTTGAAAGAAGAATTATTTACGTAGTAAGAGTTTTTTCTTTTCTTTTTTTTTTGAGGAAAGAAGAATTTTGAAACCCCTAACAAAGGATGATTTTTTTTTTTTTTAAAATTTGAGGGGTAGTGAATAGTGACATACACTTATCATTACATTTAAAATGTGGAGAAAAGAGTGATTTTCAGAGTTTGAATCTTGTAGTTAAATATGAATTAAAAAATTAAACTAGTTTGGTGATAAACTCTGAATTTAAGTGACTCAAATTAGGGGTGGACGCGGTTCGGGTACCCGTCCTATTCACCATTTGACTGATCCGACCCGCACCTTGTGGGTCAACTATTTTTCGACTCTTACCCGCCCCGCATATCAACGGGTACTCTATAATCGGGTACCCGCTGAGATAGGGTCGGGTCAGCGGGTACCCGCCCCTTATTTATCATTTAATTTTTTTTAAAAAAAATAATTTATACCAATTTAATTTTATATTTTACACATTCATCTAAAATTTAATAAATTTTTTTATAAAAAAGGTTTCCCACTAAGAAACAAGCATGTGAAGAGAATATAAGATAAAGGAAAAAAATTAAAAGAATTCAAAATCAATAAAAGTTTGAAATAAGTAGCACAATTTTTAATATATATGTTCCACATTAATTAAACTTTTTTCTATAAAATATAAGATCATGGCCTCTATAAATGAATCTTGTAAATAAACTATAGCCTCTCATATTTGTTCAATAAAATTACTTATTTAGTTCTAACTTATTATTTTATAGTGTGTGTATAAAATATATATATATATATATATATGCGGGGTGGATCGGGTACCCGCAGGTTTTTAATTATGTGACATTAACCTGCCGCGCATCTTAGCGGGTACCCTATCCTCTTTTGACCCGATCAAATAATAAAAATCGAATATCCTAATTTTCGGATCGAATATGATGGGTTTTCGGGTTAGCGGATAATTTTGCTCACCCCTAGCTCAAGCATATAATCAGATTGCCACTGAACTAGCTCGTGATACAAAAAATGGCTAATCTTTCTGAACCTCTATGAAACTCTACTCCGAATTTTGTCAACCAAATTGTGTCGGACGATTTCCAGCAATCTCATCAATAAAACCCTCAGTTTTTCTTATATAAAAAAAAAGATTAACACTGATCTACATTACCAAAAAGGAAAAAAAAAAAGGACAAACCTAGCTTGTATATATAAGTATTATTGATTTTCTTGGTTTTGATGATTCTTGTGGCACTTAAGTTTGATCGGTTAACCACCGGTGAGGGTCTATGACATAACTTGCACTGAACCATGAGTTGATCCTCCCATGTAGTTTTGGTTTGGTGTTTGGTAGCACAGAGTGAGAGAGACTGGAGGTGATACTAGGTATGATAC